TATGCCCATGCCATGCCTCTGTGTCCCTTTGAACATAACTCCATCTTTGGTGAATCCTGTTAGCACACTCCTGTTGATTTCCTGAATTCACACTGAAGCTTTCATAGTGATTTTCATGTCTCCATGGAATCCAGGCCTGGCTAATTGTCCCAGGCCATAGCCTGTGGGATCAAAATTTTTGGTATTGACTAACTTATACCATCCCCAAAGAACTCTGAGTTTTAAATAACCTGGGTATCTATGGAGTTGGTAATTTAAACAGTGAGTGTTCTAGAGTTCCTCTACTTGCTGAGCTCACAGAAGGTCATGTCTATTTGCCAGGATGCAACTATAGAAATCTGAAAAGGAAGAGTGTAAAGTAAAGTGGAAGTCTATTTATTTTTCCTGGAACTAGATATCTGGATAAGATAAGAGTTCACCTGTATCCTGACTCTTCTTTCTGTTCTGTTGTTCTCAGCTTATGACTTTTATTCTTATCAGTGCCTGCTCCATTTCCAGCTACCTGTTCATGTCCAGGGCAGGAAGTAGAACGAATTATAGGTTGAGGCAGGGCTTTGGAAGGAAATAGCCTTTTTCCAAATATTCCCAGCAGTCTTTCTTTTGTGTCTAATTTGCCAGAAGTATGGCAAGAGAGCTCTCATAGCTGCAAAGGAAACTGGGATGGAATTGTCTACCAAGTTTGTGGCTGTACATCTCACCCCATGATGCTGGTAGCAAGACTGAAGGGGTAATGGACATTAGATGGACAAATCGCTGTGTATGTCACAATGCATGAGTCTGGGCCCCTGAATGGAATGTGTTGGCTCTAACATTTTGATCACCCCCATTTTACTTTCACCTTCTGAGCAGTCAGTCTGCCTGTATATAGGCCTCAGGACATTGGAGGGAGTGCCAGGAGCCCCCATGGCTGATGCTGGGACACATTTTTCTTAAATCTTAATCCTTAGATTTCAGTTTCTGTGTAGCAAGGGGAAAATGGGCTTTGAAGCTACTCAGAGTTTGATCTTCTCAGTCCGATGTTTTGCTCAGCACCCCCTGCTGGACTCACTTGGCAGCACGTGCTTTCTCATCACTGCCTCCAGGTTGGACCCTAGACTCCCATGATGGTCCCTTCCCTACAGTCCTCCTGCACTCCCTATACTGTGAAAGAATTTTCTTCCAGAGTAGCGCAAGGACCAGTCTGGAGAAGGTGGCTTTGTGATGGAGGGAAGTAGGTGGGAAGGCAAATACACTGAATCTATAGCAAACTTAGGCAAGGGCAAAGCTGGGACGCTGATGGGTGAATAGTTGCAAATTCATTGCATTTCTTTTGCTCAGGCAGCCACAGTGAAGTGACAAGAAGAGACTCACGAAGAGCCCAGAGAGACCTCTTCTGAGGTGATGACTGCATGGAAAGATTGTAGTCAAAGGGTCTGGGGACTGACTTTACCAAGGCCCTTGTGAGACCCATTGTGGCAGGACTTGGGCTGCCAGGCTGGCTGTGGTGAGGCCTCACCATGAAGTCAGCTGCAGGGATGAGCTAGAACAAAGCTTTCTTGTGGCTTTTTCCAGGGTCACTTGCTGTTTGTTTACTCTTTTGTTTCTTCCTACCCTTTGGGGGAAACTCCTCAGCCCCTGGCCTGTGTTCTCCCAGAGCATCCTGCTTTATGCTTTGGGCATTTGCCAACAGAAGCCTGGAGGACACTTCTATGTTTCTGTAAGACCTTAATAAGATCTGTAAACATGTACTTCCAGCAGCATCACTATTGGAAACTTCTTGCCTAAGTAAAATCTAAACAGCCTTTAATTATATATCACCTCTCAAGGACCATTTAAGAACCAAACTGGTATTTACAAATGGATTTGAAATATTCTCAGTGAAGGGAATTAATTCTATCTGTTACTTCTCAGTGCAAATAGAAGAGAAGACGGCTGATTATTTGTTCAGTGATATGACAATGGAGCTTCTGGCCAAAATCGGGCAGTCTTAGGATTTTATCTAGTTGTAAACACAAACTGTGCCATGTATTTCATTGGAGGGAAAAAGAATTGCTTCAGAGAGGGTTGTTGTTCCCTTTGAATTAAAATTACCTGGTTTGAAGGATCACGGAGGTAGATAGTGGGATTTTCAGGGTGCCCAAGAAAGAACAAGTAGGCTGTGGAGAGAGAGGGGGGAAAGAGAGAGAGAGAGAGAGAGAGAGAGAGAGAGAGAGAGAACAAGATTTCACCCCACTTCTACCTTTTTGTTTCATCCTCCAGCCAGTTGGACAGTGCCCACTGAAGGCACATCTTCCCCACTGGTTCCATCAGCTCACAGGCTAATCTCCAGAAACACCTGCAGGGACCCACTGGGGCCGATCGATCACTCTACTCCACTGCTAAACCACTTGGTTTCTCCTTCAGCAGAAGAGGCACCATCTCAGTGCCTAATGAAGCACTGAGAATAATTAATGTAATGATTGAGCATAAATAACATGTTACCAGCTAGCTGGGTATTCCTGACTTCAGCTGACGCTCAAAATCAGCCATCACAATGAGATATTTTACCTTTTGTCTTTCCATACCTAGTCTTTAAAGTAGGGTGTTTTGCCATTACAGGGCTTCTCAATGCAGACCAGCCACGTTCTGAGCACGTTTCTCCTTCCCTACTGAACCTCACCACAGGAAACTTCTTCACTGCTGTGGAGATTGGCATCTCTAAGAACACCCCATCCTACTGGGGTTTTGCTAGTTCCTGTGATCATTAATTTTATGCATCTCCTTGCAGAGTTCCAGATACTTAAACCTTTTAGGAGGTGTCTAGGAAGATGTTTTGGGGGGCAAATGGTCATTTTCAAGTTGATAGACTCAAAATGTGCACAAGCATCACCAGTCTGCTGAGGCCAGAACAGAACAAAAGGCTGAGTAGGAAGGAATTCTCTCACTATCACACTGTGAGCTGGGACTTGAGTTTTTCTGCATTAGACTTGGACTCGGACTAGAATTTTTACCATCAGCTCTCTTAACTGTCAAGATTTGGATTTGGACGGTAATTATCTCATCACCTTCCTGGATCTCTGGCTTGCAGACTACAGCTCTTGGGACTTCTTAGCCTCTTTAGTCATTTGAGCCAATTCCTTATAATGTATGTGTGTGTCTCTGTAGGACCCAGATGAGTACCACTTCCCACAGACTGAGCTTGTGGAACTGCAATACCAACCAAACCTGTCCATGAAGACACCAGACAGGAGATTCAATCTCCTCTGTACAGGTGCAGCAGGGGCAGCATTCTGAGCTACTTGGGGTCCGGATCCAGGGAGAAATTAGGAAGTCATTATGGAATGTGATCTAAGGAACAAGGTGCTGTCAAGGAGCCACTGGCAGAAGAAAGAAACCAGAAAGCAAAATTGGAAATCAGAAGCATCATGGCAGAAGTGAATCTGAAAAGTGATAGGAAGTTGTCTGGCTTATGAAAGCTGAGAGACTTAACTTCTGTGGCTGTGGGAGAACTTTATAGTTTGATAAACTGGGTTGGCCTGAGAGTGTTGGGAGGTTTCTGCCTTCCATAGTACCTTTGTTACAGAGGCACTTCCTTTGACATTTAGTTTTGAATGGCTCTTGTTTGCCTCCAGCCTTCCCTTGCCCTCTAGTGATCCTCACACGAGGTACATAAGATTATGGGAGTCAGCTCCTGGGCTATAACACACTTTCTTGCACTGTGACATCCAGACTCCCAGAAGAACCTTCATAATTCATCTTCTGCTTATCTTTTCAGCCATCCTTATCCATTTTCCTGGTCCATATTACACACATGACATTTTATGCTCTTTACACCAGAATGCTTTCTCTTTCACATCTGTGTCTCCTTGCTGGGAAGTCACCACTCTTCCCATTCTACCACTTGATCCTTTCACTTGTAAGAAAGAGACAGACATCTCCTTTTCTGAGAGTCTTCCCTGCTATTCTCCACTTGATCTTAGCCAAAATGTCGAGAAGCAATTTCCCTGCTATTCTCTTCCAAGCTGAGTTAGATGGTGGTATCTTATATTCTCAAAATCATCTTCAGCATCTCTGTCAGCACTTATCTTTTTATTTTTATTTATTTATTTTTTTTTGGTTTTTCTCCGGTACCGGGAACAGAACTCACGACCTTGCGTATGCCAGGCAGGTGCTTTTGCCACTGAGCTAAATCCCCAGCCCCTGTCAGCACTTATCTTACTACATTTAATGAGTTATTTACATGCTTGCTCCTTGTCAGATCACAAGGGTGCTTAAAGGTGTTCCTATACTCTCAGGACACAGTGCTAGGTTGGGCCTGGGATGTCTTCAGAAAGATTAAGGCAGTAACTACTGCCTACAAGGTCTACATAGCTTCGCTAAAGACTATCAGAGGGGACTGGGGTCTGAATCATATCTGCATAGTCTGAGCTGCCTAGTTCAAACTGACTCCTGATTGGCCTCATGGCTAAATAACCTTAGGCTGGGACCTGCTGCTCTGGGGAAAGCAATTTACCAGGATGTTGCAGAGAAAAGCAGTGCACCCAGAGATGTTCATTGGGCCTGACCTCTGATAGAAAAGCAGAAAAAACAATTAAATTACAATGAATAAGTAAATTATAGCATGTCAGTGAGTTTGAGTTGAAGTGGTCTTAAAAACTATAATTATGAAGTCAGTGGAATGATCTGGAGGAGGAAAGACTCAGCACTTTTGTGCACTGCTAAGATAAAAATCCAATTTTGTTTAACATCCTTGCTCTGTATCTTCAATCATTAATTCAACAAATATTTATTGAATACTCACAATGCACATGGATCTGTTCATTAGCAAGAGGTCCAGATTTCAGTAAAGATTTTAGGGGAAATGGAAGAAGGCCTATAGCACTCATCACATGCCTTCTAATTTAGACATATCTTTATTCATTATTCCTCCCCTTAAAAAATTTCTCTTAAATGCTCCTAAAATCTTTTCTTTCCTTGCTAGGCTAAACTCATGCTGTTAGTCAGCTTTTTACTACTATGACAAAATACCTGAGACAATCAACTTAAAAGGAGGAATGGTTTATTCTGGCTTACCTACTCTTTTCTGAGTTTCAGTCCATGGTGCTTGGCCCTGTTGAGCTGGGCCTGTAGTGTCACAGTGTGTCATAGTACGAGTATATGACAGAGGTCATCTTACCTCATGGTCTCTGAGAATCAAAGAGAGAGAGAGGATGGGGCTTGAATTCCAGTATCCCCTGGAAGCCATGCTCCAAATGACCCAATTTCCTTCCACTATGCAGTGTCTCTTAAAGGTCCTGCCGTCTCCTCATAGCACCATGGGCTGAGAACAAGCCTTCCACACAGGGGCCTTTGGGCTACATTCAAGATCCCAGCAACAGCACTCATTCTGATCCCCTTCCACCTTCCCCTCCTCCTCACCCCCTTCTGTCCTAAGTGGGCAAGTTGAGAGATTCACCTGCCATTCTCCGAGTCTCTCCAACCTTGCATCCTCATACTCATCTCTCCTTTCAGCAAACAGAGGGGAATTTTAGAGTTATTTTTCTTAGAAAGGAGAAGGGGTTTGTACATAACAAATAACATTTTCTTGCCACAGTGAATGCTCTTTCTTGTGTCCTTGGAGCAAGACATGTAGCTGGAGGTGCTGGAGCTTGAATGCTGATCTGCTGTAGACACAGTGGTGCTGTGGCCACAGCAACCCTTATGACATCATGCCGCTGCCCATCTGGGGCAGGAGAGGTGTTTCTCATGAGTCTTCAGGTTAGCCTAAAGCTGAGCTATTGGTGCTTTTGAGGAACTTTTGCTATGGCTGTTCTCTCCCTGCCAGCTGGGAGGAAGTTGCTGGAAAAGAAGAGGAGATGGAAAGAGAGAGAGAGAGAGAGACAGAGAGAGAGACAGAGAGAGAGAGAGAGAGAGAGAGAGAGAGAGAGAGAGGCACCTGGCCTAGTTCTAGGTTTGGCCCAATGCTATTTTAATAATTCATACATTTAAAATAACAAAATAAATACTTTATGGGTCTTTAAATTTCAGCAACAAGCTGCACTCTTGAAACCCACAGATTAAAAGCTAGAGTTTAGTTAGAATTACGGTTGCACAATAAAATGTTGCTATTAATGGATGCACATAATTTAGATCCAAAGAATTTCACCCTCAAGAACCTTAGAAATCAAGCAGAAAGGCCTGGGTTGGCTCTTAGGGGATACCAGGATGCAGGGGCCTCTTCCCTTCTTTCACGAGGATTCTGTGTTCTCTGAACAATGATCTCTTGATTAAAACAGGGTGGGACCCTTGTTCCTGCACATCACAGTCTCTGGGAGGGAACCTCACAGCTCACGCCTGACTGGCTTGGCTGCATCCGAAAAGCCTTGTTAATAAAGTTTGGCGGGAGGATGGGTAGTTATAAAGCTGAACAATAAGGTTGGTGGGAGTTGCATAATTTCTCTGTTTGTCTCTACTTCCCCAGAGGATTTCAGAGATGATGTAAAGCACAGGCAGCAATGTGACTAGAATATTTCCATCCAAGAGTTGCTTATTCTCATTCTGTCTGTTTAAAAATATAATGCATATTGATTTTTCTGTACAATTATAGAGGTAATGTATGGCCATTATATAAAATTTGGAAAATATGGAAAAGTGTAGAGGGGAAGAGAAAGCATCCATAATTGATCACACAATAATAACCACTGTCATTATTTTGCAGGAGAGAGATAAGCCCTAATTTCTATGCTTGAGTCTTATTCTCTTCTCTTTGTTCTGTGAGTAGCTCTCCTCCGGTTCCTTTGTTCCCAGGTTAAGAAAGTTCTGAAGGAGGTGCTCTCCTCCACCACTTTTGTATTTCCTTCATCTCTGCCGCAGTCTCGTTTTTGGAATTAATTACAAAGATTTCTCTTCGTTTATCAAAGAAAAGCTAAAATGTTTCCAACTTGAGGTTTCTATACAATGATCCTGGGGGACTGAGGAGTTAGATTGAGGTAGTTCTTTTCACCCTTGGCATGAACACTGTAGGTCAGACGCCTCCCCATTATAAGGAGCTTCTCTTGGATTGTAAGGGTGGACATACCAGCACCTTCACCCTCTACTGCATAGTCCCCATAGTAGTGAAAGCAAAAATGCCCCTATGTGCCTTGAGTAGGAGGGAGACAAATTGCCCCTAGTTGAGAACCACAGTCTTAAAAACCTAAAAATTAGTAACGCTAGAGTTTTAGACTGTTATTTGGTCATATTTTAGCACATAAAATGCCAAGAAGATAAACATTTTTCAGCTATGATGGCATATGCCTCTAATTCCAGCACTCGGGAATCTGAGGCAGGAGGATCACGAGTTTAAGTCCAACCTGAGCTAGCTAGACAGATCATGTCTCAATTAAAAATAAAGACGTCATCAACAACAAAAAAGAAGATGAACATTTTGACTGGATTTCTGAAAGTAAAAATACTAGTAACTGTGTTCTTTTCCTTTTTTAATGAAATGTGCTCTGAAGATACTAGAGATTTAAATTTGGAAGATTTATCTCCAGAAGTAGAGCAATAATATAGTATTTTAATCAGAAAGGGAGTTAATACAGGGAAGTAGGAGCTCACAGGACTTTGGTTGAACTGGGCAGGAGAGTGAAGGTCAGAGAGGATGCTGCTGGCTTCCAGGAAATCTGGAATGTAGGACTCATAGAGAAGCTTTCTGGAAGATCATAAGGCTGTAGGCCTTTGCATAACAGGGGCTGCATAACCTGCTGCAGGCCCAGAGGGTTTGCTGGTGTTGGTCTGAACAGCTTGTAGCAGCAACGTGAGTCACCGTTGGCAGTAACTTGAAGGTGCTGGTGCATCCACACATTGCCATCTGATGATACCTGTGAGCCTGTCTGTAGCTGCTGTAGGACAAAATACTGCAGGCTTCCTCTCTTCTGCCTTCCAGATTTCATAAGAATGACTCACAGTAGCCAGATCTAATCAAAGATCTACTGGCAAGGGTGGCTTGGAAAATGTAGTTTCTAAGCTTCTAGCCTGGCAGTACTGTGAGTTTCTGTGTCCAGAAGTGAGGTGAGACAACTGAGAAGATACTGTGATGCAGCAGGGGATCATTTATTAAAGTGTTCTTTAATACCTTTAGACTCCAAAAAGGGGCCTTCTCAGTGATGCTATGTACTGGTGAAATAACTTTAAGATTCTTTGAGCTAACTGATTTCCATGTCTTAGGGACTAAGAGGCTAACACTGCACGATGTGTGAGATGAAGTTTCCTGCTGCCTAACCTGCCAAACAAACCTCCTCTGTACAAAAATATATAGGAACTTAGGATGGTACTGAATATATAACTTCACATGCTTCATCTGTTTGATTCTATCACATAAGGTTCTCTCTTCATATCCTTTATTTCCAGTATTCAGGTATTACTTTTGAAAAATAAACCTAATAAATTTCAAAATGTATTACTGCCAGTAAAAATATTCCAAAAGCATTTTGCTGCATATCTTTCAAAACATCATTTCAAAGGCTTTATATTATTTAGCCATGTGGATTTAACAGTTGTGCATAAATCTATGTCTTTAGTTAATTCCTCAGGATAGCTTTCTAGAATTGGGTTACTCATCCAAAACTGAGAATTAATTGGTTTCCCAAACGTTTGTGTTGATTAACTACCACCAGGGGCAGGTGAGACTTCCCACTCTCTGCCACTTTGTGCAAAGTGAGATCAAACTGCTTATTTTATCCTTTTTTTTAATTTTAAAGATAAAAGAACAAAAACATATTATGAAACACACATACATTTACAAAATCACACAAAAACAATGCAAGCAATATAGAATTTCAGACAAAGAGATAGGAAATTAACAATGGTTGTTGTATTACATATTGATATCCTCAAATTGGTTCCTCAGATAAACAAATATAGGCATGCAAGACTGAATGAACAACCAAACATTAACTGTTCCTGTCTTGGTTATTTTTTTCTCATTGCTGGGACAAAATACCTGATGCCCAAAATTAGGGAAGGAAAGGTTTATTTTGCTTAGAGTTTGTGGAGGTTTCAGTCCGTACTTGGCAGATTAAAAGGCAGAGTGGCACATGGCATAGGGCTGCAGCTCCTAGCCCAGAACACAGCAAAAGCCTCAAACACACACACAAGGGAGGAGTAATGGCCAGAAGCACAAAAGCCAGGAAATGGCCCCAAGCAGCCTCTTGCTCTCCCTTACATATGCAAACTATCCACCCCAGGGCAGGTGCAGCTCTCACACCCATAAACAATCAAACTCTAAAAGCCTGCCCCATGGCCTGGGGGGGGCACACCCACACCCACACCCACACACAAACCATAACAGTTCCTTTCAATAAAGCAACAGAAACTGCTTATTTTAAAATAAAGCAAAACAAAGTAACTTTGCCTTTTTTATAGGCCAGTGTTATTTTGTCATTGCATATTTTTGCATTTCTTTGGTTTTACTAATGAGGCTGAGTTGTGTGATTTTATTTAAATGCTTCACATACCTTTAAAAGTTGTATAGATAATGTAAGCTTAAGGTACAAAACTAAAAATAAACAAAATGACATATGGTAAAACACAAGACTGTTTTCTGTTCTAGCCAATCAGTTACCTCTCATAGTCAAAAATAGTTAGCTATTTTTAGTGTATATTCCACAGCTCTTGCACATATATGTAAGATAAAATATGTAAACATTCACATCACATGCATACACACATAAATTTATAATTTTTACAAAGATAAAATATTATGCATGCCATCATGAGACCTTTAAAAAATCAATTTAAATTATGGAACTTTTCATTTTTACCATAAAGGGTATTCGCTTGTTCAAACATGTGCTATGATCTATTTAACCAGCCCTCGATTACTGGTTATTTTTAGTTATTTTTGGTTGTTACTCACCATGCTATCATCAGTAACTTTATATGCATTAGTTTTAAAACAATGCATGCATGTTTCTAGAATAAATTCCTAGAACCAGAAGTGCTTAAGTATAGGTGCTGTTATGATTTATGTTTAGAACGTCCTACAAAGTCTGACTTTTGGAAGGAGATTGGGTGGGAGGATATGCTCATCAGTGGGTTGATCCATTGATCAGTTCATAGCTAAATGAGTTGTGAAGGGATGGGGCCCATTGTGAAGAAGTGGGTCAGTGGGGGTTTTCCTCTCTGCTTCCTGGCTGCTATGAGGTAGGCAGCTTTCCTCTGTAAAGTCCTTCTATTATGATGTTTCTGAATTGGAGCCCACTGACCATAGACTGGATACCCTAAACCCTGAGCCAAATTAAACCACTCCTCTTTAAAGTATAAGTATTGGGTATTGTGTCCAGCAATGTGAAATATAACTAATATTAGTGCTATAGTTTGGGTCAAAATGACCACAAAGGCTCATGTGCTAAAACTTGACCCCCAGTGTGGCTCTATTGGAACATGGTAGAACCTTTAAGGGGTGAGCCCTGCAGAGAGGGTGAGAGGTCTTAGGTCACTGAGAGAATGTTTTTAAAGGGGATTGTGGGTTCCTGGCATCTTCCTCTCTTTGTACTTCCCAGCCTTAACATTAGCAGTTCTGTTCCACCATGAAGTGGAGCTATCACAGCTCAAAGTATGAGGGCCAAATAATCATGGACAAAGAGCTCTCAAAATGCAAGCCAAAGTAA